CAGTCCCCCAGAAAGCATTCTGTTGTCTATTGGGGCTTCTTTGGGAGATGGACTGTGGGCTAGGCCTGGGTGCTTTGGCAGATACAGAGTCATAGGCTGTGGAAAGGGGATGGTCCAGGCAGGACTATAATAAATGCAGGGATGGCTGGGCGCAGCACTTTGGAAGGCCAACGCAGGCGGGTCACTTGAGGTCAGGAGTTCAAGACTAGCCTGACCAGCATGGTGAAACCCTGTCTCTCCTAAAAATACAAAAATTAGCTGGGCGTGGTGGTGCACGCTTGTAATCCCAGCTACTTGGGAGGCTGAGGCAGGAGAATTACTTGAACCCAGGAGGCAGAGGTTGCAGTGAGCCGAGATTGCGTCACGGCACTCCAGCCTGGGTGACAGAGGGAGACTCCATCTCAAAAAGAGAAAAAAAAAAGGAAATGCAGGGAGAAGGCAAGCTTCTAGCCTCCTTGTTAAAGGATTTAAAGTAGCATTAGATGGTAGAGAGAAACAAAAGATGACCCAAGTTTCACTTTCTCAGCTTTCTACTGGAGAGAGAACTTCATATGAACTAGGGTGGGAAAAAGGTCAGAATGGGACCCTGGGGCTGGCTAGCTCAAATTTGTATGAGGGATAAAGGGCAGTCCTCTCTGCTCACACTAAGGCTAAATGGCCAGGGCCTGCTGAGAAATCACATCCTTTGCTGTAGGGGTAGAAGGGATTCTATATGCCTAGGAAATGTCAGAGAAAAAGGGGATGTGAGCTCCATGGGTCCTTTCCAGGCCACCTGGATCCCCCCTTATCTCTGTAGGACTCTGCTTACTGCCAGCTGGAACTGTCAACCAAAGGGCTCTAAGTTGGGAACTCAGTCCCTTAAGAGGAGGGGAGATAGCTGGGTGTGGTGGCTAATGCCTGTGATCCCAACACTTTGGGAGGCCGAGGTGGGCAGATCACCTGAGGTCAGGAGTTCGAGACCAGCCTGGCCAACAATTAAAATTACAATTTTTTTAAATATAAAAAAATTAGCTGGGTGTGGTGGCACACGCTTGTAATCCCTGCTACCCCAGAGGCTGAGGCAGGAGAATTTCTTGAACCTGGGAGGCGGAGGTTGCACTGAGCCGAGATCGTGTCACTACACTCCAGAGCCTAAGCGACAAGGGTAAAACTCAGTCTCAACAAAAAAAGAAAATAGATGAGACGAGAAAGGTAGGAAGGCCTAAGCACAAACCTCAGCAGGGGGAATTGCTATATAGGATGAGCCTCCTTGTTCTTAAAGGCTATTTTTATTTCACTTGGCTGTTTGGAGCTGTGTAAAAAAATGAAAAGAACAAAACAAAAAAAACACCCAAAAACCCTCCAAAGGGCTATTTCTAATTCAAATCCCCGAGGTGTCCATCTTTCCCCTTCCTTTGGGGGGAGGGAGGAGGTGAGACAAGTAATAACTTAGAGGGACATTTCCTTCCATCTTTGTAGGTCTCCTGATAACAGGAACCTTGCTGCATCTCCTACACTTCTCATGAGCAGAAATGAGCTCACTGCCCCACACTCAGGATTCTCACACCATACTTCTGAGGACCCTCTGGTTTGGACAGACTATGATTAAATTTATCACAACCTTTAGTTCTCATGGCCTGGGAGGCCATCTCCTCTCCTTAGACCCTGTTACTCCTAGATCCTCTCCTCTCACTAACTCTGTCAGCACAGACTGCTCTCCCTTCCAGGACTCCAAGAGCTCCTCATCACCCTCATCTCCTGTAAAAAGCAAAGAACCCACTTACCTGCTTTAATACTAGGTTTTGTCCCCCATCCCATTTTCAAAAAGTCAGGCACAAAGTAAAACCCTCCTAGCTTTGGGGAGCCTATTTTGAGGTTCCAGCTCTAGCCCCAGCCTTTTTTTGATAGGAGGAGGTCATACAGTTTATTTTCTAACTTGTTTCCCTTAGTTTTCTCCTGTCTCGTCACCCGTGTGATCCACATGTATCACAAGTGATAGGTGACTCAAGATCATTTTGGTCAGATTTTAAATATACAATATTTTCTCCTTTTATTTCTAAAAATACTACCTTAGAGCCTACCACTCCCAGCTGGAAAAAGAAAGTTGTTTCATTTCTGTTTTTATCCTCCCCCTTGGACTTGCTCCTCCCAAGGGCCCTAGGAAGAACTAGACTTTCATTGTACAGAACTGTGCTGTTAAATAGGATTTGATAGCCACTAGCTACATATGGCTAATTAAAATTAGTTAAATACTATCTTAAAATTTAGTTCCTGAGTTGCACTAGCCACATTTCAAGAGCTCAAGTCATATGTAGCTAGTGGTATCTACTGTATTAGCAGATACAGAATACTTCCATTGTTACATGAAGTTCTATTAGCTTGAATGTGGAGGACTAGTGTCCTGAGCTCCCTTTCTTATAACCCCATTTTACCAGCCAGCAAATATTTGCAGTAACTTCACTGTTACAGGATAACTCTCAGAGGGGTTAGGAATTGGGGGTAGGAAGCAGCATAAAATCTACAGGTCTTATAGGAGTTTCAGGAGGCATGGCATAGACGCCAGGGGTTGATGGTCAATGGCAGGAGCCTCGGGTTTTAAGAAAGTACTTCAGGGGCTGATGTTATATTATCTGTCCAGGACCACTTCCACTGTGGACTCAAGGGTTCTGCATAATACCTGAAAACAAAAAATGACACCCCTACTGCCCTGCTGGAACTGAGGAGTAGCTGAAGTGATGGTTATTACTCAAAATCTCTGGAGCTTGATTTTGAAAACTGCTTTATCTGTCATGGTTTTTGTTCTCCCAAAAAGTGACATAAGCAGCAGTAATGTTTAGGTTTGTTGACTTAGCTACCTCACTCCAAGAGCTGGGAGAAGTGGGTGCCATATCCATTAATCCACTGATGCTCAGGGTTTTTTTTTTTTTTTTTTGACACAGAGTTTCATTCTTGTTGCCCAGGCTGGAGTGCAATGGTGCGATCTCAGCTCACTGCAACCTCCGCCTCCCAGGTTCAAGTGATTCTCCTGCCTTAGCCTCCCGAGTAGCTGGGATTATAGGCATGCGCCACCATGCCTGGCTAATTTTGTATTTTTAGCAGAGACAGGGTTTCTCCGTGTTGGTCAGGTTGGTCTCGAATGCCTGACCTCAAGTGATCCGCCCGCCTTGGCCTCCCAAAGTGCTGGGATTACAGGCATGAGCCACCATGCTCAGCCCTCAGGGTACTTTAATAAAGTGCTAGCTACGCAAGCCTATTCTTCCTCAAGAGTAGGTGTTCCACTTTTGAACACCTATGCCAGGCACCAGCTATAGGGCCTAAGTGAGGATGATACGTGGATATGACCACTTTCCCTGACTCTACACCAGTGGTTCTCAACTGGGCATGATTGGGCAATGTCCCTTTATAGGACATTTGGTAATGTCTAGAGACATTTGTGGTTGTCACAACTAGTGGAGGGGTACTACCTGCATATGGTGGGTAGAGTCCAGAGATGCTACTAAGTATCCTACAATGCATAGGACAACTGCCCACAGCAAAGAATTATCTAACTCAAAATGTCAATAGTGTTGAGGTTGAAAAATCCTGGTCTAGGCTGGGTGTGGTGCCTCATGCCTGTAATGCCAGCACTTTGAAAGGCCAAGGCAAGAGGATCACTTGAGCCCACCAGGAGTTCAAGACCAGCGTAGGCAATGTAGGGAGACCCCGTCTCTACAAAAAATAAAAATAAATTAGCTGCACTATAGTCCTTGTTACACAGGAGGCTGACGCGGGAGCATCGCTTGAGCCTAGGGAGTGAGTGAGCTGTGATCGCACTACTGCACTCCAGTCTGGGCAACAGAGTGAGACCCTGATTCAAACAAAACAAAAAACATTGAAAGAAAGAAAGAGGCCGGGCACGGTGGCTCAAGCCTGTAATCCCAGCACTTTGGGAGGCTAAGGCGGACAGATCACAAGGTCAGGAGATCGAGACCATCCTGGCTAACACGGTGAAACCCCCGTCTCTACTAAAAATACAAAAAAATTAGATGGGCATAGCGGTTGGTGCCTGTAGTCCCAGCTACTTGGGAGGCTGAGGCAGGAGGATGGCATGAATCCGTGAGGCAGAGCTTGTAGTGAGCCGAGATCGCGCCACTGCACTCCAGCCTGGGCAACAGAGCGAGACTCCGTCAAAAAAAAAAGAGAGAGAAGGAACAAGAAATCAGTCAATCGATCCTGGTTTAGATGACAACATGGATCAGGTTTTTTTGTTGTTTTTTTTCCCCCAGACAGTCTCACTCTGTCACCCAGGCTGGAGTGCAGTGACGTGATTTCGGCTCACTGCAACCTTCACCTCCTGGGTTCAAGCAATTCTCCTGCCTAGGCCTCCTGAGTAGCTGGGATTACAGGTGCCCACCACCACGCCTGGCTAATTTTTTGTATTTTTAGTAGAGATGGGGTTTCACCATGTTAGCCAGGATGGTCTCAATCTCCTGACCTCGTGATTCACCTGCCTTGGCCTCCCAAAGTGCTGGGATTACAGGCCTGAGCCACTGCGCTCGGCCTGGATCAGCTCTTTATGCCAAAATAAATCATGCAGTCTAGGCTCAGTAGGATAGTAAGGCTGTTAAATGTCTGATAAATTGGGAAGTAAAAAAATATGGAGTCAGTAAAACAGTGGGCTCTCTAAAGCTGAAGGGCAGGTATAATTGGAGTGTGCTTAAGTGTATTAGAAGGCTAACAGCTAAGGTCATAGTGCAATGGGAGTTGATTTCAGATGTGTAGCCAATCTGTGTGAAGATGAGCTCCAGGGTACAGCCACAGAAGTAGAGGAACAAGTTTAAACAGTCTGATTTGCAATATGGCAGTGAACAGCTGAACCTAATAGGGAAGGCATTCAGTAAACAGATGAGCTATATGTTTTTCCTCAGTGTTTTTGTAGCCCACACCTCTACTTTTCATATACCTGAAAATCTCCCATTCGCCCCTTACGTGTTATTTAAAATTTCAAAATTAAGTATGATTAAAATTAATGAAAGCAATAGTAATTTTAGAAGGAAAAAAATTTACTCAGATGACGTGATAGCCATGTCACTGTTAAGCCCGAACTTTTCTTTCCTGGGTGGCGTAAAAGGTTCAAGAAAACAAGCTGCTTTTAATAACACTCTTGCAGTGTTTTCTCCCCAGAGCTAGATATATCAAAACATTAAAAAATTAAAAAGTTTATAAAGGTGTAAGGAGCAAATGGAATAACGAATAAAGCTTTTTCATCTGTTTAGTCATTTTATACCCAAGTTTCTCTAGAGTATTTATCTGGAAGTTTCTAGTCAAAACAATTAGACTTTGAGTTTCACAAACACTTCTTGAAGCTCTTTCAGTGAGGCCTACACATCAGTATGAAACACATTCTTTCCAAAAGCTACCACAGGTAGATTTTAAGAACAAGCTCAGGAGAACATCACTCAAAATAATTCCAAGTATTTCACTTTTTTCCTTCAAATGACATTCATGAATCTGGTCCTCGAAAGACTAGTCAAGAAAATTAGACATTTTTTAGCATTAGTTTGCTCATACATACATATGCTATATTCTTATGTCTATTTTTGGCAAGTTTTGATGTTCATTATGAAATGAACAGCGAAATTGGTGTTTGCCCCTTGACATTTCAATGTCAATGTATTTTAAGCTTCAGTGTGTTAAAACTGCTGAAAAATTTTAACTTTTGAAATGTTCAAGTATAGATTCTTTTTCATTGTTCTTCCAACCTTGGGGTTGTTCTGTCCACGAGTTCAGCAGAATCCATTTTTCTTTGACAACCAAGAAACTTCAATATGTAACAGAAAACATGGAATGGCATTTAGATCTTCAAAAAGCAGGGCAAACTGGACTGGATGTACTGTTTCTCACAATGGTTTATGCTGACAGCAAGGCTGAAGATTTCCAGTAGGTTATGGGTTATCAGTGAAACTTGATGCTTGGTTGTGACAGCTGCAGTATATCTTGAATGCCAGTTTTCTTCAATCTTTGCCAAAAACCCAAATTTAACACAGTTTGCTGTAGTGCCATTAATATATACTGCTATAAAATTTCCTCCAGCTCAGTTCATTTGATACAGCTGCAAGTCTATGGTGGTCAAGTAGTGGGCTCACAAAAACAGCACATACACAGCTTTGAAAGCCTTATTCTGAATGTAAGCAAAGTACAGTTTTCTTCATTAGTAGATTCATCTCAACTAACAGCAATGAAGGATGAGCTGATGTTTTTTTTTTTTTTTGAGACAGAGTCTCGCTTTGTTGCCCAGGCTGGAGTACGGTGGCGCAATCTTGGCTCACTGAAAGCTCTGCCTCCTGGGTTCATGCCATTCTCCTGCCTCAGCCTCCTGTGAACTGATATTTTTTAAGATCTGAAGTTTGATATATTCAGTCATTAATTCAGAGTTAAGACTGCAGAAGTAGATGAAGAAATTCTGGAATTCTTTATTTGTGGCAGCGCTCAGAATGCAAGGTTTCACAAGTTTCTCCATTTTTTTCTCCTTTGCAATTAAAAGGGCTATTTAATATTAAGCTTTCATGGCTTTGAAGATTCCTGTGAATATTTCAATGCTGTCCATTCTTAAAGCTGCAGAGAATCGGGCTTTGCAGAACACTCCACTGTTTTTAATGGCATGAATTTAGCAGTGTTTGGCATGGTGTCACTGCCCAACACTTTCAGTTGGCCAACACTGCCCAACAACTGAAGAAGTTGACCCTATCTTCTGCAAAATAACATGAATATATACTTGCGAAAAGCCTCAAAAATTTTTTTTGGCTGCCATTTTTAGCTACCTCAAAGGAGATAACAGAAAAACAAGGAGTACTGATGATGGAAGCATCTGGTCCCTCTTGCAGAGTGATGAATGATTTTATTGGTGGCAGCTGGGTGGCAGGACGATCCAGGCATCCAGTTATGCCTGAGCCCCAATAAGTGATATCTTTGTTCATTTTCTTTTTATACACCCGTCTGCTTCCTAAAACCTGACACCATTTAGTGGTGCCCTTGGTCATATCTAAATGATCTTTCTTTCATAATCCTTTGATTCTAGCTTGCAGAGTCAAGAGGAACTTTAACTCATGGGATGGACAAACTGGAAGATGTAAAATAAGTAAGGCTTTCTGGGCCAAAAAGCCTCTTTTTACACAAAACCAAATTTTAAAAGAACATTGACCTGAAAACAATAACACCATCCTGGTTATGCAATAGAAATAGCTATATAAATGGAATCATATCCTTAATGAACACCTCCTGTGGCTACCCAACTTTTCACACATCTTATTGATTATAGGCCTTGCTGTGAATGCTTTCTTGCTCTATCTGAAGTATTCCCACCAAAGAGCTGTTTCCAACTTTATTCCTATATTATGAAAAATGAAGTTTTTTCAACATTGTAACAAAGTATATGATAATGTATACTATATTAAATAAACCATTATACAAAAATAGTTCCTTGTACTGTTAACTATTATTATGACTTTGGTCAGTAAAATTCTAAATCATGCAACTATAATTTACATGTTTACTAATGGAAGGAAGTGACGATGAACTGCATAAAGAATGAAAGAGACAGCGGGGCGCGATGGCTCACGCCTGTAATCCCAGCACTTTGGGAGGCCGAGGCGGGGGGATTACGAGGTCAAGAGATTGAGACCATCCTTGCCAACATGGTGAAACCCTGTCTATACTAAAAATGCAAAAATTAGCTGGGCGTGGTGGTGTGCACCTGTAGTCCCAGCTACTTGGGAGACTGAGGCAGGAAAATCGCTTGAACTCAGGAGGAGTAGGTTGCAGTGAGCGGAGATTGCACCATTGCACTCTAGCCTGGCGACAAGCGAGACTCCATCTCAAAAAAAAAAAAAAAAAAAAAAGTGTCTTAACTCTGCACTTATCAATATTTACTATAAAATGGGGGAAAGGGATGATGATAAAAGTTAGCAGAGGAGGGCCGGGCACAGTAGCTCATGCCTGTAATCCCAGCACTTTGGGAGGCCCAGGTGGTGGATCTCCTGAGGTCAAGTTTCGAGACCAGCCTGACCAACATGGCGAAACCCTGTCTCTACTAAAAATACAAAAATTAGCTGGGCATGGTGGTGCGTGCTTGTAATCCCAACTACTAGATGTGCTGAGGCAGGAAGATCGCTTGAACCCGGGAAACAGAGGTTGCAGTGAGCCGAGATCGTGCCATTGTACTTTTGCCTGGGCAACAGAATGAGACACCATCTCAAAAAAAAAAAAAAAAAAAAAAAAAAGTTAGTAGAGGAATGGAAGGTTCTCTCTTTTCCTCAGCTTCAGTGTACTAAGACCCAGAAGCATAGGACATAAGTTTTTTCCATGGGATAATTTAGTTATTACCTTGGGTGAAAACATGGTGCTAGGATTTGTCCTTAAAGTCAGATTAGTGTAACAGAGGTAGCAGTGATTTATGGTTAGATTTGTGTCTTAACTGTACACTTACCAATATTTGCTATAAAATGGGGGCAGGGGGTGATAATAATATCTACTATATGAAGCCTGTAGGACAGTGTTCTGTGTGTGTGTTTTGACTGCAACTCAAAGTAAGCAATATATTTTTAGACTAAGTATACACATGTATATATATAACTTAAAAGTGTCATAAAGCAATACTTACCCTTACTATGTCCATGTGTTCTAATATTTCCTCTTATTTCATTTTGAGGTAATGCTAGGCGTGACCCATTTATTTTATTTTAAGACCCACTAATTGGTCAAAAAACACAATTTGAAAACCACTGCTATAGGAGAACAAGAGGAAATACATTTTATAAACTGTAAAGCACTACTAAGATGTAAGCAACTTCTGCTGAATATCCAGGTCAACCTTTATGGGCCTGAAGACAACCTCTCTTTCATTTGGGCACTGCCAGGAGTCAAATCTACCTAGACTTTTGGTAAGGAAGATGGTACTCATTGTCATTGAGACAATTTTCTAATGCTTAGAAGTCAAGACTAGAAAGCAAGGCATTAACCATATCAGCACCCAAACAAGGGAAGACAAGTTACAAGAAAGCCAAATAAAACGGCAAACATTTGTTTAGTGCTTTATGGTTAACATATGTGATCTCTTTTAATCCTTACAATCCTAGGGAAAAAGTGAAGCTCAAGGAGGTTGACACCTGCCCAAGACTAGACAGTAAGTGGCAAAGCCAGGTCACCTGATCCTAAATCCCGAACTCCTTCCACTATGATAAAATACCAGGAAAGAAAAGTGATCAGGATATGAGGCACATTCTGATCCATCAAAGATGCTTTGCCTTGCTCTAGAAGGAAAACGGATCTTACTCAAGGTAGGATGCAATCCCAGACTTTCAGAGGAGTGTGTGGCCAGTTGTTACTAGTAGTCTAGGACTCACACCTGGCATTTCTGTCTACCAATATATCTATTTTGACACTGTTTGTGCTGAGGTCCCAAATGTCTATTATCTCCAAGTACTGTGGCTTTCTATTCCTATCTGTACCTGTTCCAGGGACTTGGTCAAGGACTCACATTAGAGAGAAATGAAGTACTGGGTATCTGTTACTCGTGTCCCGCGCACTTAGGTAGACAAGACAGTATTAGCAGTAGTGGTCCGCTTCCAGTGACCGTCATATTATTTGTTCAGCTTCCTCTGGGGAAGCCAATCTGCCCCAACCTTCATGGTTTTGTTTCTCCTTTTTTACCCATATGACCATCTCTCTCCACTGTGTCTCCCTCATCAAATAAAGAGTTTAGCAACTAAGTAGCTGAGGAGGTGGGAAAGGAATGCTACACATTCCCCAGCTCTCCTAGTTACCTTTTCACTCTCTTCAGCCCCCTACATTCCCTCATTTCCATCACCTGGTACTCCTGAACCACCTCCTCCAAAGGCACCACGCTGTGGTGTTTGTGGCTCCTGGATTCTCGGCACACCACACAGATGGCCTCTTTGTCCACCTCACAGAAGAGTTTCAGGGCTTCCTGGTGTTTGAAGCACATGCCCTGATCATTACTCCGGTTCCGCCGACAAGGAGTGGGGCACATCTGGCGAATTATCTGGACCATGTTGGCCAGCTGCAAGTTGGGACGAAAGCTGCGACGTGTAAAGCTCTTTCGGCACTGGGGGCAGGTGAACTGCCCTGGAAGGGGCGAGGAAGGAGGCGGGTGGATGTCAGGATACAGCTCTTCATCTTCGTCCTCATCGTATGCTTCCAGTATTTCTTCTTCTCGGTAGACATCAATTCTCAGGTCAGGTCTCAAGCCTCCTAGGTAATAGTCCTGATCTTCCTCTTCTTCTTCCTCCTGGTCCCACATATGGTCTACGTTGTCCCAATTAGTTATACCACTGTCACCGAGCCAGAGTTCACCGTCCTCTTGGTCTTGGAACAACTCTTCGTCAGCATTCCCTCGATACAACACCTCTCGAACGGAGCCATCCCATCCATCCACGGCCCCCACCGCTTCACCGTCCTCCTCCTCCTCCCATTCATCTCCCTCCTCGTTCTGGTCTTCCTCGTCCTTCTTACCCCACAGCTGGGTCACACACCCTCGGCAGAAGTTGTGCCCACAGCTGATGGACACGGGGTCCTTGAAGTAATCCAAGCAGATGGCACACACCGCTTCCTCCTGAAGGGTCTGCATGGGGCTGGGAGTAGTGGCATAACCAGCCATCTTAATGCCTGCGGCAGGTGTAGATACCTCAGCTTGGAGCTGCGGAGCGGGGACGCGCCTGCAGGCCTGCTCCAGACTACTCTGGTGAGCCGAGGCAGTCCTCAACCTTGCTCTTCCTCCTCGGGCCCGCAGGGGAGCTTTGATCCCCTCTCTCAGGGTGCGAACGCCCAGATCCAGACTCAGCCTCTCTCTGGGATCGGTGGGGACAGACCAGGCTGCAGCCCCCAGCTGCTCGGTCTTGTCACGTCTCACGCAACCCTCAGGGTGTGCCCTACACTGCGGCGTCCGCTTCAGACGCAGCCGCCAGCTACCCGGCCTGAGGCGACGCAAAATGACGTCTCGCTCACGCACACGCTCGGGAGAGACGCTCTAGGCTGGCGGAGGACCACGTCTCTGTGGCGTGCCAGGAGCCGCGCCGGCCGCGAGTTGGGTGAGCTGGGGGGCGCCCGCGCCCGCGCCGCCCGCCCTAGCTGGGCTAGTGCTGCACATTGCAGCCAGCCCCCTCCCCAAGACCCCATTCCCAATCCCCTTCTCAGCTCCCTCGGGCCGGCAGAGCGGCTCTGATCAGGTCAGCGGCGGACGCCGGGAAGCGGCCCGGCTTGGGAGAGGTGGTTTGGTTGGTTGGCTGGTTCTGGATGAGGGGTCAACCCTCGAGGGGGACTGGGTTTCCGAGCTGTTGTCCGGCCTGAGCGGGAGCCCCGGGAAGTTTAGAGGGAAGGGGGATAAATCTCTCCGGGAAGCCCCGCCCGGGCCGGGGCCGAGTTGGTCCACGGCGGTGGGGAAGCTTCGGACACCACCCTGGTGCTGTCCCCTGTCCCGCCGTCCGCGCTTGGGGTGCCTTGGTGGGGATCCGGGCGCCGCACTGGGAGGCCCTGCCGCTCGGGAGGCTCGGAACCGGGGCGCCCAGTGCCCCCCGCTGTCTTCCGGGAGTCGCCGGGCCGCCGCTCCACGCAGGCCTCGGAACCAGCCTCCCGGCGCCCAGGCCTGTTTGTGCTCGCCGGGCCGCGGCTGCGCAGTATTGCGGCGTCTCCCAGCAAAGCTGCGCCCCGGGCGTGGGTCCCCTGAGGGGACCGGGACTCAAGTTCCCTTCGGTTCTGCCGCCTGCGTCAGGGTAAGGGTTCCGAGTTCCAGCCCTGAGCTCTGTGAGCTTGTACGGGAGGGGGCTGGATTTGGGACCACACTTCCTCACTGCCGTGGTTTAGACTTAGTTTGAGAGCGGCTGGCCCCTCCTTCCTGTCCCGGTGTCCTCCACTGTCTGTTATGCCCTTTATTCCTGCCTGGGGAGGGCGGGCTGGGGGCGCCGTCTGGGTCTGTTTTCCACCCCAGCGGGGCCCTAGGGCAGTGTCATTTAGACCCCACTCTGTCACCTTTCCTGGAGAGGGGCCCTGATCCAGGGCTGAGAGATTTTTGTTTTGAGATGGAGTCTGGCTGTTCTCAGCTCACTGCAAGCTCCGCCTCCCGGGTTCCCGCCATTCTCCTGCCTCAGCCTCCCGAGTAGCTGGGACTACAGGCGCCCGCCACCACGCCCGGCTAATTTTTTTGTATTTTTAGTAGAAACGGGGTTTCACCTTGTTAGCCAGGATGGTCTCGATCTCCTGACGTCGTGATCTGCCCGCCTTGACCTCCCAAAGTGCGGGCTGAGAGATCTTACAAAGTGCGGGCTGAGGGGGAATGAGGCCTTCGGGAAAGGCTTCTCAGGGATTGTCTCCTTCTGTCTTCTGTCCCTCCAGGTAGGGACAGAACCAGGTCAGGCCTGGACTTGCAGTCCCAGAGAACAGAGGGTGGAGATGGGGGCCGGTGTTCATGGGCTCTGTGTATGCCTTCTGTGGCCTGGTTCTGTGTATAAATGTTCCACCCCAGTGCTGAGGGCTGACGCCCCCTTGGCCTTGGTGCTGGGGGCATCCTGGGGCAAGGAGTGTAGGCAGAACTCCCCAACGTTGGAGATTTGGGGAAATTGTGTCCCCTCCCTTTTAGACTCCTGTAGCCCCCTGCAGTGGCAAGATTTCAGCCCACGGCAATCTCCACCTCCTGGGCTCAAGCAATCCTCCCACTTCAGCCTCTGGAATAGCTGGGAACACAGGCATGCACCACCACTCCAGGCTAATTTCTTTAGTTTTTGTAGAGACCGGGTTTCGTCATGTTGCCCAGGCTAAAGTGCCGTGGCTATAGTCACAATTATTGCCCACTACCACCTCAAACTCCTGGGCTCAAGTGATCCTCCTGCCTCAGCCTGCAGAGTAGCTGGGACTATAGGCATGCACCACCATGCTTGACTTAACCATTCTTTTTTAGATTTTTTTTTTTTTTTTTTTTGAGACAGGGTCTTGCTCTGTTGCCCAGGCCAAATGCAGTGGTGTGATCATGGCTCATTGCACCCTTGATCCCTGGGCTCAGGTGAACCTCCTGCCTCAGCCTCCCAAGTAGCTGGGACTACAGGTGTGCATTACCACATTGGGCTAATTTTTATTTTATTTTTTTGTAGAGATGAGGTCCTGCTATGTTGCCCAGGCTAGTCTTGAACTCCTGGTTTAAGCAGTCCTGTCTCAGCCTCACAAAGTGCGGGAATTACAGACCCGAGCCACTACGCTCAGCCCCATACAAGGTTTTTTTTTTTTGTTTGTTTTTTTACCTGCCCTTCAGTAATAAGTATATTGCACATACTGATCCAATACAGACCTGCATATATATAACAGAAACAAAATTTCTGCAAACTCTTCTTTCCCTTATGACATCCAAGGCACTCTGATATTTTATTTCAGTAAAATGCTGTTGAAGACCCACGGACGTGACTGCACCCCTCACTCACTGGTCACTGGTTTGGGGAGGAACATCAATGTTCCACCAGGGGAACCTTGAGAACACCTTGGAGTCCTCCTCTTCCTCTCTGGACCTGAGCCAAACTGTGAGTGGCACAGAGCAAGGACCATATGTATTCTGTTCATTGTTGCATACTCAGTTCATTGACCACAGTGCCAAGCACACAGTGAGCACTCCCTGTGTATCTGCTGAGTAAATAAACGAACAAACCCAACACATTTCAGCCAAGTCCTGCTGATTTGTTTCTCCTCCATTCCAGCCTTACTTACTTCCAGCCTCACCCCCATCAGCTTCAGACTGGATAAAAGGAAACCATTTCTCTAAAGGATCACTTGCCCTCTCATTTCAGGCCATCCTGCAGCCACCAGAACCTTCCACATGAAATGAAAGGCTCATACTTCATAAGCTTTAAGGAAATTCTTGGCCAGGTGCAGTGGCTCACTCCTGTAATCCCAGTGCTTTAAGAGGCCAAGATGGGAGGATTGCTTGAGCCAGGTGTTTGATGCCAGCCTGGGCAACATAGTGAGACCCTGTCTCTACAAAAAAAAAAAAAAAAAAATTGGCTGGGTGCGGTGGCTCACGCCTGTAATCCTAGCAATTTTGGAGGCTGATTTTGGAGGCTGAGGCAGGTGGATCACTTGAGGTCAGGAGTTCGGCACCAGCCTGGCCAACATGGTGAAACTACGTCTCCTAAAGATACAAAATTAGCCAGGTGGGCAGCAGGAGCCCGGTAATCCCAACTACTTGGGAGGCTGAGGAGGAAGAATTGCTTAAGCCCTGGAGGTGGAGGTTGCAGAGCCAAGATCACGTGCTACTGCATGCACTCCAGACTGGGCAACAGAGTGAGACTCCATCTCAAAAATAACAAAAGGAATAAATAAAATTTTTAAAAAAATTACCTGGGTGTGAATGTGCGCTTGTAGTTCCAGCTACTTGGGAGGCTGAATTGGGAGGATCATTTGAGCCCAGGAGGTCAAGGCTGGGTGGCAGTGATTGTGCCACTGCCTCGGCCTGGGCAACAGAGCAAGACGCAATCTTAACAACAAAAAAATCCTGGCCAGGTGCAGTGGCTCATGCTTGTAATCCTAGCACTTTGGGAGGCCAAGGTGGCGGATCACAAGGTCAGAGATCGAGACCATCCTGGCCAACATGGTGAAACCCTGTCTCTACTAAAAATACAAAAAGTAGCCAGACGTGGTGGCAGGCGCCTGTAGTCCCAGCTACTCGGGAAGCGAGGAGGAGGAATGGCATGAACCCGGGAGGCGAACTTATAGTGAGCTGAGATTGCATCACTGCACTCCAGCCTGGGCATGAGAGAGACTCCATCTCAAAAAAAAAAAAAAAAAAAAAGCCAGGGGGAAGTCGCAGAACCCTGGGCTTGTCTTCTCCTCTTTGTGAGGAAGCTCACAGATCTGGGTGCAGCAGAAGTGTGACTTGCAGCCTGTGCTGCCTCCTCATGCCTTTCTTACCTTTCCTTGCTCCTGCAGTGCCACCAGCGAACAGTAAGATCCATGGCAGGAGCTACACAGCTTCCCGCAAGGCAAACAGCTGGGGTCAGGGGTCAACCTGCCAGCTGCCCATGCTAAGGGGACAGCTGCCACACTCACACTGGCCTGGGCACCATCTTCCACTTGCCTGAGTCCTGCTAACCCTTCCTTCCGGAGCAGCCTTTGGCCTCACTTGTCCCCAAGGGTGGTCAGACACATGAGGCCAGAGTGCCAAGCCTGGGCTGCCAAGGCACCGCTGTCCAACCTTGGCTTCTGTGCCTTCACTGATTCTGAGCTCCTGGCAACTGCATGTAACTTCACCTGTTTCTTGGTAATCGGATTTCCTTTGGATAGCCCAGAGTCCTGCCCATGGAACCACAAAATCCATTTGAGAACCCAAGGGACCCCAGAGACCACAAGCCTCCTGACAACCTGGACAACTGACAACTCCTCCCCTGCCATCCCCAAGGTGGCCTCCACATGGTGTGACTCCGTGTTCCTTGCATGACTGTCCTTTCTGTTCAGCCTGGGCTCTCCAGAGTGCATCCACCCAGCTTGTTCAGCCTGGCTCTGCAGAGTGCATCACCCAGCCCTCACTCCCACCCCAGCCTTGCACATGCTGGTTCAAGCCATCTGTTCCTCCAGACATTAAGGTGGAGGAACGTGATTCCACCAGCACTCCCACAGCCTGTGAGGAGGTGAACCCAGGGATTGTGTGTGTCTAAGTCCACGGAGGGATGAATAGGCCCAGGAAGCAGGAAAATCCTCCTGCCCAGGCCTTGCTCCCACCCCCACTGTCTCCTGTGTGGCACCTTCTGGTCAGTCAGCTCAGCCAAACACAGGCATTCTGGGCCCGGCTGGACTAGCCTGACACCTGCCTCTCTCCCTTTATTCCTTCCTCACGCTCCTAGACGGGACAGACCGTGAGCCCAGAGTGAGTGCTGAGGATGAGGGCCTCCGGTGTGCATGCTGCCACAGTCTCGGGAGTAGGCCAAGCAGCAGGCACGTGATGAGGCCTCTGAGCACCCTCAGGCGCAGAGAAGCACATGATCCGGCAGGTCAGGGTGGCAGCTTGGCAGGACTTCTTCCTCCAGATCACAGACAGTGGGAAGCAGCCTCCACCCCACAGGTCACTGGCTTTGTGTCCTCATGGTGCTGCCACAGCCCGCTCCTGGGAATGGATCTCCTCCCCTTGACTCCAGACCCAGGCGGCCTCACCTCAGCCCCAGGGATTCCCACTCAGGAGGCCAGGGCGTCTCCAAAGGTGAAGTGCTGAGTCAGATTTCTAGGCTTCAGGCAGCCCTGAGATCCACCCGCTTGGCACACACCTCTCCCGCTGACCTCTCTGAGTTGGTCTCAAACCACCAGCTGCTAGCCTTCCTTGAACCCAGCTGAGAGCCGTGCCGAGGGACTAAGGGGTCTCTTGGAGCAGGCCCCAGAGCCCACCTGGTGCTCACAGGCCTCAGGTACCTCCTGGTCCAGAGATAGAATGTTCTGAAGAGCAGCTACAGCGGTGCACTCAGGGCTGAGCCAGCAGTGTTGCTGCCACTGCATTTCTCAGACTCTAATTTCAGAAATCGCATCCGTGAAACTCACACCACATCTATGCTGGAGAAGCCTGCAAACAAGAGTCCACTTGCGACGGTTCAATCCCAGGTCATGGTGGGGAGATGAGCCCTTGCACACAGCCTGTAACTGCCACAGAGGTGCAGAGAGGCTGTGCAGCATGGCGGAGTCACATGGACATTGGCAAATCACAGCCAAGGGCCAACTCTGGCCCTCAGCTTCTTTCTGTAAGGCCCAAGAACTAAGAACAGTTCTTAAATTTCAAAAAGCGTTGTAACGAAAGAAAACGAGGAATTGTAAACAAACAAAAGATGGGACAGAGACCACATCAGGCCAGAAAAGCTCCAAAATCTTAGTATCTGACACTTGACAGAAGTTTGCTCACCCAGGCTAGAGGAAGGAGCAGAGGCCCCCTGGAGTGCCTCTGATGTGAGATTGAGCCTATGTCTGTCGCCTTGTTCTGGGACATGGGTTGGTGGACTCCAACGTGATCGCAGTTGTCATTCTGCATTCCCTCCCTCCCTTGTGCGGCAAGTAGATGCACACTGGGGTTATTAATGAGTGCTGTTCTGGTACAGGAGTCCCCCCTACCTCCGGGAGATGTAGTCCATGACGCCAGCTGATGCCTGAAACCTAAGATGACAAGGAACCCGACGGCCATCGATCGAAATACGTTTGTGTTCATGTCCCTGCTCACACAAGGAATCCCTTTTCCATCTGAACTGGGCACTTGCTATGTACTGTGGCATCACTTTGGCTGTTAGGAGGCGTGGTAGCAAAACTAACACAAAGCCCTTTTTCTTTATAATTTGGGGCTGACAGAAGGTCTGTTCTTACTGTAGATTTTTGCAACCTCAATATACAATTTTTTTCTATTGAGAACATTCCCTTTTCACTTAAAGGAGTACTTTATGGCTTTCTGCACACCCGAATTGCCAGCATCCCTACTGTGTGCGTTGGGGTATTATTAAATAAAATAAGGGTGACTTGAGCGTTCTGCCATATGCAGTTTTTGATAGTTGAGGATGGCTGCTGAGCGACCACAGGGAGTGGTGACAGTGTGGAGACTCTGACACAGTGGGATGGAGCAGCATAGGCGCCAGACCCCGGACGCAGGATGGAGCAGCATGGGCGCTCAGACTCCCGGACGCAGGGATGGAGCAGCATGGCGCTCAGACTCCCGGACGAGGATGGAGCAGCATGGCGCCAGACCCCGGACGCAGGGATGGAGCAGCATGGCGCCTCAGACCCCGACGCAGGGATGAGCAGTGGCTGCTTCAGACCCCGGACGAGGATGGAGCAGCATGGCGCCTCAGACCCGGACGCAGGATGGAGCAGCATGGCGCCTCAGACCCCGGACGAGGATGGAGCAGCATGGCGCCTGTCTGATGAGGGATGGAGCAGCATGGGCGCCTGGTGATGCCATTCTCAAGAGGGTTTTTCTGCACAACCTGTAGAAACCGCTTTTATGGATTTTCCATTTAACATTTTCGACTTCAGTTGTTCCCGGTAACTGAAACCTTAGAAAAGGAAACCAGATAAGGGGAAAAGGCTGCTGTGCTGATTTTCCTCTCGAGACCCTGCATTGGGGCTGGAAAACAGATAAAGCAGCATCATCCTCAGATTGCTTATGGTTCCTGGGGAATGGATGCAGTTGTCACACAGCTTGGTCATGCAAACGGACACAGCATCACAAGATTAGTGTGAGGCATTCAGAGTCACAAGCATCCTCCCCATTGTGTGGGGTGGGGACAGGTTTTTCTGCAGAGCACCGAGGCTAACCATCATTCCATGCACTTAGCGCCACTGCCATCCCACTTCTCCCATCTACATATATCTTTAAAATCAGCTCTGCTGGGCCAGGCGCGGTGGCTCACGCCTGTAATCCCAGCACTTTGGGAGGCCGAGGCGGTGCAGATCACGCCAGGTCAGGAGATCGGCACTATCCTGGCTAACAGAGAAACCCCGTCTCACTAAAAATACAAAAATTAGCCGGGCGTGGTGGTGGCACCTGTGGTCCTGCAGCTACCGGGAGGCTGAGGCAGGAGAATGGTGTGAACCCAGGAGGCGGAGCTTGCAGTGAGTTGAGATCACACCATTGCACTCCAGCCTGGATGACAGAGCTACTGTGTCAAACAAAAACAAAAATCAAGTGAAGAGACAAC